TTACCGTGGTTACCTGTTGCAGAACAGCAGCAGAGCCATCATGGTGGCCTCAGAGCCCTGCCCGGTGGGTGACGCCCTGGCAGGAACTGACCAATGAGGATGCGGGGCAGTGTGACGCAGAGGATTCTGGGGTCGCTGGGATGGCTGTGGTTGATTGGTGGATCGGTGGCGGGCCTCTGTGACAGGCTGAGCTCTGGAGGGAGGGGTCAGGGACCTCTGACTCACCCGTGGTTTGAGTTCTTGGATCGATGTCCTGGTACTCGGCCAGGACTCCCTGACAGCTGAGCCACGACCTTTGACCTTTGTATGATCCCGTAAGACAACTGGAGGCTCCAGTTGCTTAGCAACAAGCTGCAGAGTCCTGGGAGGAAGGGGCGGAGTCGAAGGGAGACGGCGCTGAGGACGTGTTTGACAGGTCCTCTTCTTCTGACCTACAAACATCTTCAGCTGATGGAGGCCCACAGAAACACCAGCCAATCAGAACTCAGATACATATTTTACAGTCCAATCAGAGCACAGCACAACAGGAAACATCCAGTGAGAACTTCACCACAGAGCACCAACTAATCACAGCACACCATCAGAGCAAACTCCAATCAGCTTAAGGTTCTGTCTCCTTGCTGTCCATCGTCAATACCTCTGACTCCGCCTTCCCAGGTGGCCCCTGATTGGCTGCCTCCTTGTGAGCTCACAGGTGTGTGACTGTCAGCAGCTGTATCCAGATGTTGTCTTCAGACTAAGGTGCGTCCAGACTTCAGATCTTCATGTTCTCTGTCACTCCCACACATCTCTGCTCTCTGATTGGCTGCTGCCTGCCAGCTCCTGCCCACTCACGGTCTCAGCCAATGGCAAGGCAGCAGCAGCATTCTTCTCCTGCCCACTCGCAGACAGAGGCCCATTGATTCAGACGGAGGGACCATGGAAACAACCAACTGCCTGCTCATTACTGGAGCTAATCAGTAATCACTCACTGGTATTGATCAGTAATTAATTCCTGATCACTGATACTGATCGCTGACACTTCTGTGGTTGGTTTCCAGGCGCTTTGGTCCATTAGTGTTGGAACAAAAACTGTTGAAAACTGCTCAGCAGAGTTAAAAACGCGACAGCAGCAGCAGCGCGAGGTTTCGCTGAGGTACAAACATCACAGGCCTGTGGTCAGAAAACCCTCACGGGATCTCCGACACGAACGGGAGCAAAGTTTTATGTCCAGCTTGGTTCAACTTGGTTCAAGCCACAACCACCGGCACTATCTGGAAGGTCAAAATGGGACATGCCCCCTACGGTGGTGGAGAATGACCAAGCTAAGATCGCATCCAGCTGGTCTGTGCGTTTCTGCAGCTCAATATACAAACCAGCCCGTTTACCATTTGGCGTTCCCTCCTCCCCTCTCATAAAGGATGCTCCAGTGTCTCCTCCGCTAAAGGAAGCAATAAAGGAAGCACTGAGGCTCCTTCCTTTAGGGTTTGGGACAGCTGTGGCCTCCACACAGATCACAGGTCACGTCTGTCAGCGAGTAACCTCACGAAAACGGAGAGCACCCACAGACTTTATGACGGAGCGTTTCAGACCTCAAACTAAACGCACGGAGTTCAAACAGGATGGACTTTTATTGTGAAAGTCCGGGTTCATCAGTCAATCAATCAACCTGATCAATCACAAACAAACACTGAAAACTGATCAGCTGACCTCTGAGAAGCATCCTGTCTCCTCCCACTGAGCAGTGGCATCACAAACACCTGTTAAACACACTCACCTGGCGTCCCCCGGCAGGTCGAACATGGTGCGGTCCAGGCTGAAGCCTGACGGCGTCTGAGCGGGGGTCAGAGGGGGTTGGTACAGTCCAGCAGGGGGGGAGCC